CAGCATATTAATACTAACTTCGCTGAAACGTCAACAGTAATACGTCCAGATTCGTGCTCTTTAACAACAAAAGGAGAGACAAGACGGCTTACTCAGGAATGGTTTTACCGTACATTGACTTACAGCAAAACAGTTTTTTTATTCTCCATCCAAAAAATCATTATTTTGTTTTTGTTGTCGTTTATTTGAGAACGTAAATACACCGAATGGATCTAAATTTTGCTCATCTGATGGATTTAATACTTGGTGGAAATTAAAGCCTAAGGTTTAAAGTCACGAATCAAGTGCACTACACAACCAAAATTGTTGCAAATGGAAGGAGTTGGAGCGCAGACTTCAAAAACAGACTATTGACAAGAAAGAGCAAAACATAGTGGCTAAGGAAACAAAGAAATGGCAGGCAATTCTAATCAGATTGTTTGATATTATAAAATTCCTTGCCAGAGAAAATTTGGCTTTGCGTGGACATATAGAAAATGACACCAGTGCCAATAGAGGAAACATTTTAAGAGTTGGTTCATCTAAATTCCAAAATATGATCCTGTACTTCGTGAACATCTTGTAAGATCTAAAATGTGTGGCAAAATTTCAATCACTTATATGTCACCACAAATACAAAACGAATTTATTGCCATTTTGGGAAATAATGTTCGCCAACATATCATCGGACAAATAAAAAAGGCTAAGTATTATTCGATTATATTCGACAGCACTCCAGACCTTTCTCATAAAGATCAAACATGTCAGGTATTAAAATATGTAGTAATTGAAAATCAGGAAGTAAAAGTTGTGGAGTCTTTTAAAGATTTCATCGAAACTAAAGACAAAACTGCTGAAGGAATTTCAAAGATGATTTTGAACAAGCTTCAAGTTGATGGCCTAGATATAAGCAACTCTAGAGGCCAAGCATAAGATAATGCTGCTGTTATGGCTGGAAAGCATTCAGGAGTTCAGCAGAGGATTAAAGAAATAAACCCTAAAGTTGAATTTGTACCTTGCTCAAATCATTCATTAAACCTAGTTTGTTTACACGCTGCCTCTGTTGAGATGAGTTCAGTTAACATTTTTTGGCACTTTAGAACGTTGCTATTAATTTTTTTCCACATCTACACATCGTTGGGAAGTTCTGATAGCAGCTACAGGCAAAAGCTTAAAAAGGGTGCAAGACACACGGTGGAGTGCAAGAGGCGATGCCGTAAATATGACATGACATCATTACTTTGGAAAAACTGACAGAGGCAGGTGAAAGCTTAAACACTAGGACAGATGCAGGATTTCTTGGGCAAAAAAAGGGACTTGACATAAGAATGTGCGCTCAGAAAGTAAATGCTTTGCAGATGATATTGACAGAGAATGGGTAGATAGCGCTGTAAATTATGCAAAAAATATGTGTGAAGAACTTGAAATTTTCATAGATCCTCAGAGGCGCAAAACAAAAAGACATATTTTTGATGACAGAACTAGAGATGCTAACTTATCTTGTGAAAAGGAGTTGAGACGAGAGCTGTTTTCTTCGTTGGATAGAATCATTGTAGAAATTCGTGAGCGTTTTCAGCAGCTACAAAATTTAAGTTTGGTTATCTAAAGCCGGCTATATTATTAGATCCAGAAGACACTAAATGTAAACTACACATCTATCGAAATTGACGAGCTGGATTTCAAGCTGGAACGACTTCAATTGTGGACTTTTGTTGCTGCTACAGGCAACGAAAATAAATTAATCAATGCAGACTCACTTGATTTATTTAAATTTATTGTAAAATCCAAATTTATTGTAAAATCCAAGATCTGACTTGAGACATATAGGATCGAGCTCTTGATTATATTGCAATTTTATGTGCGTTTGCCTGTTTTTCTATATTGGGTTATCCGCCATGGACCACTGCATTGATGCAGCTACGTTTTGTGTCCCTCCGAACAATAGACTGTTATTATTTTGGCTTTATCTTCGTGGCGAAGCTCAGTGAAATTTGCCGCCTACAGTCAGTCATCTTTGTTATCTTGATGATTGCTCCTGCAAGCCGATGATACGTTATTGACACACCCCAGCCCCACGGAGGTAATCGACCTGTGCTGATATACACACGGAATCGCCTATTGTTAATGAATGCCCAGCGTATGAACTTGACCGCTGACCTCGTTTATCGACTGAAGGAACTTTCCATTGGTCAAGGCATGCCCCGGAAGCATAATCATGGTGGTAGATGGAAAATGAAAATAAAACATGTCACTCCTTCGTCGTAAATGCTTACTCTACGCTATTTTAACCCAGCCAACCACATTCACATTTACACCTCTCCACCTTCCAGCAACAGACAGATTCGCATCGCCTCATTCAACGCTCAGTCGCTTGGCTCCTAATGAGAAACGTATCTCAGTCTCTGAATTTATCACTGATAGGCAGATTGGCATTCTGTTTCATCAGGAGACCTGGTTTTGGCAGACTGGCGATGAAGGGAAGTAGGCTGATCTCGTTCAGTCTGGTTATTCTGCCAGATCATTTCCTCGTTCAACTCGGGGTGGTGGCCTTGCTGTTATCTATAAAGACACGTCCCGTTATTTAGCCTTTGTCACAGACTTTCCATTTGCTCACACATCGTTTGAAGCGGCTCAACTTACCTTGTCAGTGCCCCAGCAGAGCATCTGATTTACGAAGTGGTTATACGCAGTCGGCTGGTCACGTGAGGCCTATATTCGGCGATTACTTAATTATGACGATTACTTCCTCCCGCTTGGCGTCGCTTTGTAGCCATTACTACTAACAATGTCGATACAGAAAGATGCCATGTTTACCACCTACAATGAATTTTACGCCGCGCTAAAGAGGCATGAAGAAGAGTGTGGCGTGCTGTATGTAACATACAGCTCAAAGAAAGTAAGAATGTTTTTTTTTATATTTTAAATATAGTGCTTAAATTATTAACCTGACATCAACACAAATTTTCAAATACATCTGACATACATAAAGATAAAGATTATATCACTGGAAAGGGCTGGCTCTAAGCTTTCCAGCGACAACAAGATAATCTTTCTATCACTTAAAGGAGAAAAGTTATGAATTTTTTAGTGATTTATTTTCCCCCAAATTAATATACAGAGCAGAAAAATTTGTGCAATTTTAGAAAAAATAATTCATGAAAAGCAACCGCGGCCGATATTTTTTTACATTTAAATACATAACTTTTAAACTATTGAAGCTACTGCAATCAAACTTTCAGTATAAATAGTTTGTGACAATCCAAATGTAACAGAATATTTAAATATTGCAAAAGCCAAAAAATCATGCTATAAAAAAATTTAAAAATATCACAGAAATGTACCACACAAACCCCACTGTTTTTTTTTGCCCGCGTCCTCCGGTATTGGTATGCCTAGTATAGACATAAAACAGTTGGATCTATGTAGAAATAGATGTGCTGCAGAACCCGGTTTGCCATTACAAGATAAATATATGAATCCCATAAATATAATATTGTTTCATGGTAGCTCCATGGAGTAATTATCTGTGTCTTGATATTGACATCATATTCATTTTCTTTCAGTTGAGAAAAGAGTCACAACTTGTTGATACGCTAAAGTATGAGAATGCAAAGTTCGTTTGCAAGCAGGGGCATCGCACTAAAGAAAGTACAAGCAAAGGCATCCGCCCAAACCTTAAGTAAGTCATTTTTTTCTTACACTCTCAGAATGTAATGTTTTATACATATCTGCTGTTTATATCCTGACACTCATTTTGTACAGTATCTTGTACAGTATCGTACACAGGCTAGCCAGTGGTTCCCAAAATATAAGCTGCATCACATTGTGACCATGTTGCCCTCCGAGCAGGTTGTAGTGTTTGAAAACGAAATACCAGTATGCCACTCACAAAATATATATAATTATAATGATTATAATGTCAATTTTGCTATTTATTAAGCAATGAGAATAAAATTTTTCAAATATTTTGAAAAACAAAAATATGGTCAATGGTTAACCAGGGGAACCTCCATGACCTTAGTACAGTGGAAGACATCGTCGGCCCTGCACTAACTGCCTTTCAGCCCTAATGTGATAATGAAAAAGACAATCAGTGTTGATCAGGCTTTCTCCTTTTTTGTGTTTCAGAACATTCAAGACTGCTTGCCCTGCATTTTTAAGGTTAAATCTGGTGGAAGATGGGGCTGTGTATAAGTTAAAATTGACCACCTGCAACCTGGAGCACGAAAACCATCCTACTGGACCAGAGGTATTTATCAATTTTTTTTTAATCCATTTATTTTGCCATAAGTCCAATTGTTTTAACATTTTACTACCGTTCCCTTTCACTACTGCATACTGCACAGTTTGTGATAAATGTGCAACATCATATACAATTGTTCAGTTACCATTATTCTGTTGTTTTTGGTTTTATTCGGTTTCAATATGAAAATTGCGGACTATATATAGTTTATATATTATTTTATTTTCCTTATATAAACTACTACTAAGCATGTGTTAGGCACAAGTATTTTTATCTAGCATAGAAACACATGTCTTAGGTCTTCAACATTGTCACGAGATTAGAAAAGTAATTATTGTCATTTTTATTGTAATACCGGTACATGATTAGCAATTTAAAAGTTAGGGAAAGTATGTCACTTTTATTTCTTGTTGTGGGTTACATGTGGCTTTTCTCCAATAATGAAGTTGCATAATATGTTACCGAAAGCAATTTTTAAAGGAACAGTAATGGATTAAAAAAATTTTCTCTCCAGTTTTCAAGATTATATCCAGAAAACAGAATGCCTCAAATCACAGAGCACCTGGTGGATGTGCTAAACATCAGATCTGCATCAACCAAAGAGGTTCAAGAATTGGTTGCCAAAAAGGAGGGGAAAATGTTGATGACCCAAGACATTAAAAATTTGAGAAATAAATACTGTAATTATGCAGGAGGTGAAGAGGCAGAAAATGTCGATAAAGTGTTGCGAAAGGTGCAGGCTGAGGGCGGTGTCATTAAATATGGAACCAGTGAGAGTGGAGATTTTAAATTTCTATCATTCATAACAGCAAATATGCTTGATTCCCTCAATCAATTTCCTGAAATACTTATTATGGATGTCACGTACAAAGTGAATAAACAAAACTACCCCCTCCTCAACATCCTAGTTGTCGATAGTAATGGCCAAGGCAGACCAGTGTTTCATTCTTTTCTTGCGTCGGAAGACTCCACTATCCTATCTTCTTGTCTTTTGTTTTTTGCAAGTTCCTTTGATTCTCAGCGCACCAAAACCATATTTGTTGACAAGGACATGGCAGAAATCTGTGCCATCAAATCATCACTTCCGTTTGTTAATATTCGACTTTGTGCTTTCCACACGACGACTGCCGTTAAGAAGGCTTTACAACAGAAAAAGCTGTCCTCTTCTCAAATATCTTGTCTCATTGATCTGTTCATAGAACAGAGATCCTGCATGGACATGTCAAAATACAATGCCCTCAAAGACAAGATTTCTGAAATCTCACCTCCTGATGTTTTATCCTACTTTGTTTGTAACTGGTGGAACTGTCCCCAACTCTGGGCTGCTTCTTTCCTGGAGTCTCCAACATTTCACATAACAACGACAAATCATGTCGAAACATTCCATCAGAAAATTAAGAGAGTTCTGTCCACGAAAACTCCACTGAGCATCTCCATCACCGAACTCCTCAGTGTTACAAAATACACAATGCAATCCAGAGATGCATCTGCTTCCATACAGGCAATGTCATTGAAGTACAATACAAGGCATAATTCTGACACTATTAATACCATACAGAATGACCTCACTCCTTTTGCAGCCAAACTTGTTTCAGAACAGTTTATTCTCTCTCAACATACTCATTATGTCGCTCAGTGTTCTTTAAATTTGCCTGAAACATACATTCTGTCCTCTTCAACTTCTGGCTCATCTCAATACAACTGTACCATTAACTCCTGTTCTTGCGACTTCTTTATAAAATTCTGTTTGCCTTGTCGACACATTTTTGCTCTTAGGTCTGAACTGTGTCTACCTCTCTATCACTGTGGTAATGAACGCTTTAAAAGCTCTTCTGCTGTCTGTCCATCTCTTAGCTCCAATGATCACCATAACATAACGCATGAAGTATTGCCCACAAGAAAAGCCAGCAATCCTGAATCTCGTTACCACATAACAAAAGGAATCACAAAGGCTATTGAGTCTTTCTTACCTCTGTTGGGAGAACAGGCTTTCCAATCTGCTGTATCTCACCTTGAAAGAGTTTTAACTCTAATTAAAGCTGACCGACCTGTAGCGGTCATTGATCTTTCGCAAGGAGATATAACTCAGCCTCAAACTGAAAACCTTCATGCAGGTGTCACTGCATCTTCACCACCACCCTCTGTCTCTTCTGATAGTATTGATGTTGTTGTCCTGCCATCTGTATCTTCACCACCACCCTCTGTCTCTTCTGATACCATTGATGTTGTTGTCCTGCCATCTGTATCTTCACCACCACCCTCTGTCTCTTCTGATAGCCTTGAAGTTGTTGTCCTGCCATCACCCGCTGATTTCTTGGTTCCTTCTTCTTCATCTGCTGGCTCATCCTGTGGATTTTCCAATGTTAAACTGTCCCTTGTGAAAACAAAAGGCAGACCTAGACAGGTACAGTCATTCACTAGACGGTACAGGAAAAGAAAAGCATGTCCCAAGGATTTTCATACTAGATCAGATGAGGTGAAGAAGCAGATGCTTCTATCTGGGTGTCTGTTGGATGCTACCGTTCTCCCACCTTTCTCTGTTTTAAATCTGAAGTCAACAGAAAACATTTTTTCTGTATGTGCCAATGCCAATATTTCTTTGTGTTCTATTCAGCCCTTATTTACTGAAGATGCATGGGAAAAACTTGAGGCCAGAATAGCAGAAAAGAAGGGCAAAGATTTATTTTTTTGCAATTCGTGCTTCATTATGGATGATAGCCAGTATAAAATGATAGAGTGTGAGGGTTGCCTCCAATGGTTTCATTACCATTGTCTTGGCTTGAGGACAGCCTCAAAGCCAAAGAAATGGTATTGCGATGCTTGCTGGCAGTGAATGCCTTCATTTTAACTCGTAATACCGGTTGTTTTAAAAAATGCAGGCCTGCACAAATTTTTCAGTAAAAAGTCTGTCATATTCAGGAGATACCAGTATATTGGCTGTTCTCAAGATATCTGCCAAATGATCATCACTCAAACATGAGCGTTTCTTATTAATGTGCCTTAATGAAAATGTCTGTTCACATATGAAGACCACAAGGGAAAAAACGGCAGAGTCACATTTTTGTTGTTTTGAGATATTCGATTTTTAAAGTTCAAAACCATGCACATTAAAAATGTATAAACAAAATGTAATTTTTAAAATGCATTTCACAAGAGTGTCCATTTCCCTGAGTTATTAAATAGATAAATTAATTCAAACTTGAATGTAACATGATTTATTTCATTATAGTAGAGAGTGGGGTCAAAATGGACTCTGCCGTTTTTTCCCTTGTAGTAATTTATCAAGGTTTGATCATTGCTAAATATCTATTTAAAAAAGTTCCTTTGATTCTCAGCGCACCAAAACCATATTTGTTGACAAGGACATGGCAGAAATCTGTGCCATCAAATCATCACTTCCGTTTGTTAATATTCGACTTTGTGCTTTCCACACGACGACTGCCGTTAAGAAGGCTTTACAACAGAAAAAGCTGTCCTCTTCTCAAATATCTTGTCTCATTGATCTGTTCATAGAACAGAGATCCTGCATGGACATGTCAAAATACAATGCCCTCAAAGACAAGATTTCTGAAATCTCACCTCCTGATGTTTTATCCTACTTTGTTTGTAACTGGTGGAACTGTCCCCAACTCTGGGCTGCTTCTTTCCTGGAGTCTCCAACATTTCACATAACAACGACAAATCATGCCGAAACATTCCATCAGAAAATTAAGAGAGTTCTGTCCACGAAAACTCCACTGAGCATCTCCATCACCGAACTCCTCAGTGTTACAAAATACACAATGCAATCCAGAGATGCATCTGCTTCCATACAGGCAATGTCATTGAAGTACAATACAAGGCATAATTCTGACACTATTAATACCATACAGAATGACCTCACTCCTTTTGCAGCCAAACTTGTTTCAGAACAGTTTATTCTCTCTCAACATACTCATTATGTCGCTCAGTGTTCTTTAAATTTGCCTGAAACATACATTCTGTCCTCTTCAACTTCTGGCTCATCTCAATACAACTGTACCATTAACTCCTGTTCTTGCGACTTCTTTATAAAATTCTGTTTGCCTTGTCGACACATTTTTGCTCTTAGGTCTGAACTGTGTCTACCTCTCTATCACTGTGGTAATGAACGCTTTAAAAGCNGTGAATGCCTTCATTTTAAATCGTAATACCGGTTGTTTTAAAAAATGCGGGCCTGCACAAATTTTTCAGTAAAAAGTCTGTCATATTCAGGAGATACCAGTATATTGGTTGTTCTCAAGATATCTGCCAAATGATTATCACTCAAACATGAGCGTTTCTTATTAATGTGCCTTAATGAAAATGTCTGTTCACATATATAAATGTTTCAAAAATGTTTATATTACTTTCTGTGTACGGTATTGCAATAGTATAAATGAATATGCATGGAAGTGTTATTAAATTACAAAATTTTAGTTTTGCATGCCTGCTTTAATGTGTTCTCTGATGTTTATTGACGCTTTATAGTCTCATTGTAATCTGTATATTCTGCTGGTTTAAACTTTCATATGATGTATATGAGATATGGGTGTATGTTAATTTTTGTTTCAATGTTTTGCCTTTTTTTACATTGTTAATATTAATATTATTAAGTTTTGTTATTTCACCCATTAATGCTTTTTTTTTTCATGGAATTATGCGTTGACTTCGTTTCTAATTGTCCTTATTATATACGGATCACATACTTTCATGCATGTACTTTTTAAAATGTAAATAAACATTAACTAATTAAATTTGTTATATATATTGATTTTGATCTATTTTGGTTATGTTATATTCACTGCAGAAACTTGTGACTTATTATAATAAATAAGCCTCCCACAGCTAAGAACACAGACAAAAATGCACACATAAATATTCTGTTTGAACTACATATACTTATACTTAATACTTTAAGTTTAACTTAAGTTAACAAAAAATAGATTTTAAAATTAACAATAGTTTTGAATTATTCGCAGTCACGTGACAAGGCTGACCGACAAGATATCTCTCGCCACTTTGTTACGGCGGTCATGTGACTTGGTCGCCGGACACATAGTGCGGGAGATAGACGTGTAGACACTGCCATCTTAATAAGACTGAGTATAAAAAATCTAATAATATATGTAGTGTAGTACTAGTAGTAGTGGCAGTTTCACTGAATGCATTTTAGTATTTTTAGCTAGAGCAGCTAGCCCCTTGGCCTGCCCTATGGCATTTCTTTTTTTTAAGTATGCACCTGCCGTATGGCATTTCTTTTTCGAAGTGGTTATACGCAGTCGACTGCGTATAACCCTGAGAGTTATCCGCAGCCGGCTGCGCATAACCCCCAGGGTTATACGCAGTCGGCTGGTCACGTGAGGTCTATATTCGGCGATTACTGAATTATGACGATTACTTCCTCCCGCTTGGCGTCGCTTTGTATTACGATTACTTCGTCCCGCTTCGCGTCGCTTTGTAGCCATTACTATTAACAATGTCGATACAGAAAGATGCCATGTTTACCACCTACAATGAATTTTACGTCGCGCTAAAGAGGCATGAAGAAGAGTGTGGCGTGCTGTATGTAACGTACAGCTCAAAGAAAGTAAGAATTTTTTTTTTATATTTTAAATATAGTGATAGTGCTTAAATTATTAACCTGACATAAACACAAATTTTCAAATACATCTGACATACATTTACATAAAGATAAAGATTATATCATTGGAAAGGGCTGGCTCTAAGCTTTCCAGCGACACCAAGATAATCTTTCTATCACTTAAAGGAGAAAAGTTATGAATTTTTTAGTGATTTATTTTCCCCCAAATTAAAATATAGAGCAAAAAAATTTGTGCAATTTTAGAAAAAATAATTCATGAAAAGCAACCGCGGCCAATATTTTTTTTACATTTAAATACATAACTTTTAAACTATTGAAGCTACTGCAATCAAACTTTCAGTATAAATAGTTTGTGACAATCCAAATGTAACAGAATATTTAAATATTGCAAAAGCCAAAAAATCATGCTATAAAAAAATTTAAAAATATCACAGAAATGTACCACACAAACCCCACTGTTTTTTTTTGCCCGCGTCCTCCGGTATTGGTATGCCTAGTATAGACATAAAACAGTTGGATCTATGTAGAAATAGATGTGCTGCAGAACCCGGTTTGCCATTACAAGATAAATATATGAATCCCATAAATATAATATTGTTTCATGGTAGCTCCATGGAGTAATTATCTGTGTCTTGATATTGACATCATATTCATTTTCTTTCAGTTGAGAAAAGAGTCACAACTTGTTGATCTCCTTTTTTGTGTTTCAGAACATTCAAGACTGCTTGCCCTGCATTTTTAAGGTTAAATCTGGTGGAAGATGGGGCTGTGTATAAGTTAAAATTGACCACCTGCAACCTGGAGCACGAAAACCATCCTACTGGACCAGAGGTATTTATCAATTTTTTTTTAAATCCATTTATTTTGCCATAAGTCCAATTGTTTTAACATTTTACTACCGTTCTCTTTCACTACTGCATACTGCACAGTTTGTGATAAATGTGCAACATCATATACAATTGTTCAGTTACCATTATTCTGTTGTTTTTGGTTTTATTCGGTTTCAATATGAAAATTGTGGACTATATATAGTTTATATATTATTTTATTTTCCTTATATAAACTACTACTAAGCATGTGTTGGGCACAAGTATTTTTATCTAGCATAGAAACACATGCCTTAGGTCTTCGACATTGTCACGAGATTAGAAAAGTAATTATTGTCATTTTTATTGTAATACCGGTACATGATTAGCAATTTAAAAGTTAGGGAAAGTATGTCACTTTTATTTCTTGTTGTGGGTTACATGTGGCTTTTCTCCAATAATGAAGTTGCATAATATGTTACCGAAAGCAATTTTTAAAGGAACAGTAATGGATTAAAAAAATTTTCTCTCCAGTTTTCAAGATTATATCCAGAAAACAGAATGCCTCAAATCACAGAGCACCTGGTGGATGTGCTAAACATCAGATCTGCATCAACCAAAGAGGTTCAAGAATTGGTTGCCAAAAAGGAGGGGAAAATGTTGATGACCCAAGACATTAAAAATTTGAGAAATAAATACTGTAATTATGCAGGAGGTGAAGAGGCAGAAAATGTCGATAAAGTGTTGCGAAAGGTGCAGGCTGAGGGCGGTGTCATTAAATATGGAACCAGTGAGAGTGGAGATTTTAAATTTCTATCATTCATAACAGCAAATATGCTTGATTCCCTCAATCAATTTCCTGAAATACTTATTATGGATGTCACGTACAAAGTGAATAAACAAAACTACCCCCTCCTCAACATCCTAGTTGTCGATAGTAATGGCCAAGGCAGACCAGTGTTTCATTCTTTTCTTGCGTCGGAAGACTCCACTATCCTATCTTCTTGTCTTTTGTTTTTTGCAAGTTCCTTTGATTCTCAGCGCACCAAAACCATATTTGTTGACAAGGACATGGCAGAAATCTGTGCCATCAAATCATCACTTCCGTTTGTTAATATTCGACTTTGTGCTTTCCACACGACGACTGCCGTTAAGAAGGCTTTACAACAGAAAAAGCTGTCCTCTTCTCAAATATCTTGTCTCATTGATCTGTTCATAGAACAGAGATCCTGCATGGACATGTCAAAATACAATGCCCTCAAAGACAAGATTTCTGAAATCTCACCTCCTGATGTTTTATCCTACTTTGTTTGTAACTGGTGGAACTGTCCCCAACTC